GCATACATATGGATGAGTCTGGACATACAGTACACTGATTTGAGGAAGCAGCGATGCATTTGAGTGCTTGTGATATCCACGGTCAATACGTATGGGTACTTGTGATTCAGCATATGTGTGTAAATTGTCAGGGAGCCCCCCGTGGACCTCCGAGAGGCTGCATATAGGAAGCACTGCTCCTGCCGTTACAATTCAAGGACCAGTTTCTGAGAAGAGCATCTAAAGACACTGGTGCATCAGCAACATGGCTCCCTCTCACTGCTGCGCATGCTGAGCAAACAAGCCTGACCTCTGCACAGCACCTGCAACCACACACATAGAGTGACAGTTATTACACATGACTTCAGCACACAATGGACTGGAGAGCGTTTTAACAGCAGCATCAGTAGACCTGTGTACAGCAACATTATCCAGTTAGACAAATGTACACACTCACCACAGATATCACAAAAGACACTGATCTCTTCTCCACACCTTTTCAACCCAGCAAGGGAGGCAGACTCAACCTCTTTTTGTCGGACTGTTTCTTAGGTGTGCCCAAAAATAATGACACATATATTAAAGCTATAACTACAGGCAGGATGTGTCTTTACAATCTTTTGTGAATATCAAACAGACTTTTGGGTAGAGACTGACGTTAGTCTGTTGCTGTGTTATTTTGTTTGTCATTTCCATGCAATGTGTTAAACAGGATTGAGAACCTGTTTGACTGAAAATAAAGTAGTTGGACTATAGTCCATAGTTTATGTGAGAACACAAAAGATGAACAATAGACTTAGATGANTCTTTTTTACGCACGCAACCGATCGCGAGCGTGCGTGCGTCCGTATGCGTGCGTGTGTGTGTGTGTGTGCGGTGAGACTGCTAGTGATCCGGGAGCGATTGTTCAGTGTCACCTCTTCTCCCTTGGCACACACACACACACACACACACACACCAGCTGATCCAGCTAGTGATGGAGACGTGTGTGTGTGTGTGTGTGTGTGTGAACCCAAACTTTTCCTCTCCTGGTTTTACCCTTGATCTTGTCCTCACTATTTTGCAAACACACAGGGCTTCTTTCCGTTCATGCTGCCTTCAGGTGCTCCCATAAACTCCGACATTTCCAATATGACACGTACAAGTTCGATCAGAATTCCCCTTGGTATCTATTCTGATTGGGGGGAATTTGGTTGGTTTTAGGGGATGTTGGATGATCTCATGTTTTTATCACGATACGATGTGGGGCTGCCCAGCACACTTTCTTATAAGTGAGGCAATTATGGTAAAAGGAAACATGGGTTATATTGAAACACACCTCACCAATAATACATTGGCTGTAGATCGATCTGATTCAGATTTTGATTAATCCAAATAATGTAATAATCAATTGAAGCTAGGGAATTTAACCATAAACTGTGTATTTATCATGTGCTCTCTAAAATGAGTCAGAAAATAGAGAAAATCCCCAAAATCCAAAATATATGGATTATCATTAAAAGAAGAAAAGCAACACATCCTATCATCTGAGAGACTGAAACCACTGCAACTCCATCAACAACATCATGTAGCTATAGGTCTACTACTGTGGTGCTATTGGGCTATTTAAGAAACTTAGTTGAAGTGATGGTATATCGAGTTCCGAGTCTGCCAAAATAAAATAATACATAAATAAATAAACAAACAAACAACTCAATAATTTATAAATAAAATTAATTTAACTTGATAGTAATGGCAATAAATTAGTAAGTAAATTACAAAACAAATACATAAATTAAAAATAAAGTACATACGATTTAGTAATAAAGGTGCATGGAGTTATTTAGACTTTACTCTGATCTGATTTGCTTTTTAGAAGAAGGCAATATGATGTGACTGCATAAAATAAATAAACTTTGTATTGTGAGGCAGGCTGGTGAATGGCGGAGGACTCCTCAGCTGTCAATGTAAGAGGCTGGTTTGGCAAAGATTTCCATTTTAATCACCGTGTAGACACACAGCATTATTTAAACTCTCTGATTAAGTATGCAAATGTACAAGTTGTCGCTGTTTTTGCGCAAAAAAAAACTCCTTCGCACTATCAACAACTTTTCGCTGATGAGACAATAGCAGATAGTTCCATTTAATTTGGGCGGAACCATTCTGCCTCGGAACGGTGGGTGGCAGGAAACTCTCAGAGACGCATGACGGGGCACTGAGATTACACGTGTTTTATCACAGCGATTTCTACACTCAACACCACGGTGTATGCATATTCCACCAAAACTCAAAACACATGTGTAGTATACGAGTGATACGAGCGGGGATCCCCTCTGTCAGCACCCCCGCGGGACAGAATGGACTCGACCTACTCAATCATGCACTTCAGCAGACACTGCAAAGAGCATGCTTTCACCTTTAGGACTGTCTGAGCCTCTTCAGCCTGGAATTTCTGTTTGGATCGAGCAGGTATGTTCATCTCAGCGTTTCCTTCTCTTTTCACACACACACACACACAAACACGCAAACACACACACTATCCCGGATCACTCCATGTGTCTATAAGAGAGAGAGAGAGGGAGAGAGAGGGGGTTACATGGGTGGCAGGCGATTGTCCGGATCTTGATTTATAAATACCCAGGCAAGGAGATAAGGGATGATTTCCACTACAACGTGTACGTATGTTTATGGATTGACCCTCCTGATCTCCTGATGGTGATCGCAGGTATTACTTGTGTTATTTCTCCACTTTTCGTTGACAGTGTCTTAACTCGTATCAGCTTGATGACACTTGTGAGTCATCACACTTGATGTCTGAAGTCAGTTATTCAAATGAAAGAAAAGAAAAGAAAAGAAGTAGGGATGTGGTGCGCATGGCTGCTCTCATGTCCTCCACCAACATCCCTGGGGCTGATCAAACTTTCCACCAGCTCAACACACACACACGCACGCA